GGAAGTGAAGGAGATGAGGGGGGGCGCCAAAAAATCATCGGCTTGGGGCGCCGTATGACCTAAATCAGGCCCTGATCATGTGATTTTCTGCTGCCAGGAAGGATTGGTGGCCAACATATCATGCACGAAATACAAAGATGGAGTTATCATGAAGCCGCAGCATTCCGCACACTTCCATACCAATCTGAAAAATCAGGAGTCGATGCTTGCTCCTGTATGACAAGACACACTGCAGTTATCTAACTGACAGGTCCTTTTACACATAACGACACACAAGTCGTATACTGAATTGACCTTCAGTCTCCGATTTATAGCTTCTCAGCTATTCCTGGTTTGCTACCCGTGCATAGGCGTAGCTAGGGGGGTCCTGGGAGGCCCCCCCCCCAGAAAAACGGGATCCTCCATTCCTCACCCACCCCCCGCTCTCTTCACCACGAGAGGTGGTCCCATGCCCCCCCCCCCAGAAAAATTTCCTAGCTACGCCCCTGTACCCGTGTATAACGGTCGAAACTTTAACAGCAGTACAATGCGCACTGCCAGAAGATAAAGATGAGAGAAGAAAGAGCGAGGGTGCAGATTAGAGTGATGATCGCAAGATGAAAGGAAAGGATGCTGCAGAAAAAAAGGAGAGGAAATACAAAAAGAAGGAGGACAGATTTAATTAGAAAGGAACAAAGAGGTAAGCATATGGAGCATTAAAAAGAAAAAAATTAAAAGAAGGAGGCAGGGTATGGAATCTTGAAATTCTAAGCACTCGGCGAGAGAACGTTCGAGCGTGAGGCGGAATTTCAAGACTGAACCTGCTTACAACATAACATAACCTCAATATGATGATCGGTGAACATTGCTTCGATACTCAGACTCACCAGAGTCAACCAATCGAGTGGCAGCATTCCAAACCGCGTGATCAGTACGGACCAATGGCTGTAGATCACCATGGAGGACCACCATCCACCATATTGTTGCCACTGGCACAGCACTACCTCTCCAGCTTTGATCATTCCCGCTCGTTTCGTAGGAGAACGGAAAACTATCGTGTAATTAATTATGGCTCCAAACCATCCAAACCCCAAAACGAAGAAATTCATGGCGATTCGGAGTTTGCATCAAAAAACTATAGAAAAGGTAAGCGAGATTAAACTACTGCTGTAATCATGTTTGGCACTTATTGGTTGGGCATCTATCGTCTTCCTTCATGGGTAGCTGAGCCAAGTTCCTCCCTAAGAGGCCAAAGACATAGGTTTACACGTCGCCATCGCCTGGCCATCGCCTCCTCACCTTAAATTCAATTGATAATTATGGCTCCGATAAGAAAAAAGTTTGTCCCATTGAGGAACTTCCATCTGTTGACCGTTGAAAAGGTAAGCGAGATTAAACTACTGCTATAATCATGTTTGGCACTTCTTGGTTGGGCATATTTCGTCTTCCTTCATGGGTAGCTGAGGAGGCCATAACCACACATGGCTTTCAATTTTATGATGATTCGTTTCTGTTTCTGGGATGTCTTTGTTAGGGCGGACATGGAGAAGTCTCTGCCTCATCAAAAAGTTAGATTTTCATTCGGTTCAGCAGAATGTATCTGCCGCCAGTCTTGCGCTGAAATTCTTGTTCACATTGGCTGCGCGTGCACCTCACCTAAGTCCGAACCCATGAGTTTTACTACACGCATGCTGCTGCCATTCATGTTCTTTTCGGAGCTCTTGGCAGAAGTGTTTCAGGTGCAGACGACAAGCGAAACACAATGCCACTGCTGTTGAAAGGCTAGTCAAGTGCCATGTGCTGACATCTCATTCACATGCTCATATATCTGGCACATGCGTGTGATACCTTCAGTTCGATTTGAAGAAATACATATGCTGCCTATCGTTTTATCTTCGTTGCTTGGATTTGCAGATTCAATTGTAAATCAGGGCTCGGGGGAAGTCCTGAATTCGGCTCTGACTCTTATGAAGGCAGGTCTTCCAAGAGTTGTATAGGATAAATTCACCTTACCGATGGAACTTGGACCATTGCCAAATCGATATTGTCTCCTGAAGGATAGATAAGCGACTAGATTTCACCACGCGCTAAGCGACTAGATTTCACCACGCGCTACTACTACTCCTCTCTCCGGTCTGTACAGTTTCAGCTAAAATCCATCAGCAACCGTTCCAGTGTGTATGAAGATCCGTCATTTCCATTTAGGCTACATAATGGTTTGTATTGATGAAATCGACAGATCTCCTATTGCAGTCTGTGTATGATGACATATTCTGTGTGGAACTCAACATCCTATCTGTTCTATGAGTTGAATTAATTTTGCAGTGAGGATCTTAACTCCATATGTATTTTGACTGGAACGTTTTTTTTTTCTTCTATGTGTTTCAGGGCCATACCAAAGCATCAAATGCAGTCAATTTTGCATTCAGAGTAATGGGCATCTTATCAAGCGAAACGCAGAAAAAAATATCTGTTGCACATGTACTGGCAGTAGCAGGTAAGATGTGTTCCGGCTTCTCTACGGTTTGTAATCAAGAGTAGGGGTAGCCACCCACCCCTGGTCAAGAAAGAGACCTTTTAATGCAGAAGTATAATCAACAACCATTCAGCAAACCATGTTATAAGATAACAACCTAACCTAGGGAAAGGCTGCAAAGGCAGAAAAAAATAAATTAATAAGGAACCGAGGACGTTTTGAAACAGCAACTCTCGTCCTCAGGCGGGAAAAAATAACTGAGAAATGAGGTTGTCGATTTGCCAGCTAAGACTGATGTAATAGGGTGTGATACTAACAGGGTTAATTTTTTGGCTTTGACTGCCCAAAGAAAAGGAGTGGGAGGTCTAAGTGAAAACCTTCATATTCCCTTAAGGTCTGGGCAGATGATCAAAAAAAAATTTGGAAGAGATCTATTTGACGGTGGCATATCAGAAGAAACAGATGAACATTCAGTGGGAATTAATATCTACTTTCTATGGATGAAAATATTTTAATTTTGCCGTGATCGGTATAAGACAACGACTGCAGGGAGTAATGTATGAATGCAGTGTATCTAGTTTCAATATTATTAACTTCCGAAGTTACACGATTGTGTTCGACCTCTTCTGTTCTCTCGGACCAGTTTCAATATTATTAACTCCCGAAGTTCCACGATTGTGTTCGACCTCCTCTGTTCTCTCGGATCCCTACACCCCTCATTGGATAAATCATCTAAGCAAAAACGTGGGAGACCTAAAAAATTGTCCGGATCTAATGGGGATGGAAACCAATCCCGTGCGGCGAGTTTGGCGGGAGTTTGCGGGAAGGCACCTGATTCTGAGAAATCTTCTGTATTGTAATATGGACGTAGTTTTTCCATATTTTTCATATAGCATAAGAATGAGTTCAATTATGTCTTAATTTGGGGCCTTTAATGTTGAATTTTTGGTCCCTTGGATGTAATAAATGCACTCGTCGCACTTAATACGAAACTAAAATATTAAACCTAAGCTTATTTCAATAGTTTTTTTTTTTTTTTTTTTTTTTTTTCCTCTGTTGGCGCTTGCATAGAGCGCTCACTGGCGCTGTTGGCGCTTCACTTGGTAGTGAGAAACACGTAAGCATTTTTTTTTCTGTCCCTATGTACCTATTGATGTACCTATTCGATATATCGATTTGGTGTCTTAGAAATTTGCGGGTATGCGTAAGGGTAATAGTGCATTGCGAGTTCAAGAGACGAAGCGTCGTGTACGAAGAGAAAATCTGTTTTCCGTTTCTTTTTATTCTTGCTTCTTTTGTTTTCGTTTTCGAAGAAGAAAAAATGTATCCTCTTGTTGTTGTTGTTGTTGTTGTTGTTGTTGTGTTGTATGTGTGTGTGCGCGTTTGTTTTCGTTTGGGGCTGTTCAGCAGATCAGCTCACATTTATCCTTCGGTACGTCACCAAAAATGGAGAGCCCGTAGAAAGATTTCTACGTTTTGCACCGAATATCGGTCACAAAGCTGAAGAAATCATAGATGCCACGATAAATATTTTTGAAGACTTAGAGTTGGACGTCTCAAATTGTAGAGGGCAATCATACGATAATGCATCAAATTGTCTGGAGTTTACTCAGGAGTTCAAGCGCGTATTAAGAGTTTAAGCCTCCATGCAGAATACGTGCCCTCCGCGGGCCACTCTCTTAATCTTGTAGGCTCTTGTGCTAGTAATTCGTGTACCATAGCAACGGTGTTTTTCGCCTTTTTACAATTACTCTACAACTTTTTTTCTTGTTTTCCCGCCCGTTGGCAAATACTTGTAAAGAACTGTTCTAGAGTCCTCCACAGTCTCTCAAAAACTCGATGGGAAGCTCGTCATGACGCATGTGTAACTTTGGAGAAAGACTGGGCTGGAGTCTATAAATCTCTGAAGGAAATTACTGACGACTAACTGCAAAGAAATGATACCAGGAATCTTTTCAGGACTTTTTTTGGTCTCTCCTCCCCGCCTGGGTAAGGCGCCAACTGAAGCACCTGATCGCCCGCTCCCGTAGCAGGGCAAGGAAACACCAGGACAGCAGCTCCAGAATGTAGCTTTTCTATTATTATCTTCATGTATCGCTATTGTAATATGAAATGTATCTTCATGTATACACAGTGTCTATCTAATGAATGTAATAGTGTTTTGTGCTGGATTTCAGGTACATCTGAGAAAATATGTGCTTTTGCTCCATGTGCGCACCCGGATTGAGGAACTGGAGGCAAAGTTTCTGGATCCTGAAAAGACGAAAGGAAAAACGCGAAGACAAAAGTGGAAAATTATATTCGAAGGTCGGATTCAAGAGCTAAAATTACCGGGAGAGTTGGAATTGCTTCGTCAAAGAGTCCCCAAAGAAAGCCGAGCCGGCTTTATCGACACTGTCGTAGACTTATGCAGAAAGTGTAGTAGCATAGCAGCTCATGATGTACACTACCAATCAAAATGGGATGAAGATGTTGTGAGACAAATGCTCACGGTTGCCGGTATTGCCCCCGACGAAGAAAAAATTAAAACCGTAATAATCCTTATCACCCCATTAGCAAAATAATTTTTTTTTTTTTTTTGTTAAAACTACCCTAGTAGCACAACTCCCCTATATTATACTCATAATATACATATATATACATATTTTATAGATGTTTTATACTTATATTATAAATATATATACCTATTTTATACCTATAATCTACCTATATTATAGGTATAAAGATTATATTAGTTTGCGCTATATTCTACATATATTATAGGTAAAAATATATATTTTATACCTATAAAAGATGTATTAGGAATTTGTAGGCCGGTCCTGCTCCCCACCCCCCTCCCTTCAAAAATTTCCTGGACAATGCCCCCTCCCTAGGCTATGTAAGAGGTGAATGGTCTCAATGGTCCTTACCCCTACTTTTGATCATGATTAAAGGCTTGCGTATTAAACCTGCAAGATGAAAATGTTGTTCTATTAAGAGGGTATGCATGAGCTTTCAAAATATACTTGGGTGATTTCACGATAACAGGAATAGTTAAAATGTGAAATACCTTAAAAATAAAAGTGCACCAATTTTAACAGGATTTCATTACCTCATTTTAAAGGCATTAAACTTCCCTTTTCCAGCTTTTGCACGCTCTATTTTGATTCAGTGCAAAGTTAAAGTGATTGATAAACAAGCCATTGAATCAGGTATCAGCGCTTCCCGCGGGACTGCTAGAGGTCCACGCAAACACGGCGGCCCTGCCAAATTGTGTCGGTTACGTAACAGACACAGCGTGACCGACACTCAAAAATGTGAGATTAAAGATGATACAAAAGATGAAACTTGGCAATTCTTGAGTTATTAGGTAGAATTAATGCTGCCTTAAAAGTTTTCTAAACTTTAAAGACTTCCTTTTAGTTTAATAATATTACATTGAGGTTTTTGCGTAGTGAGGAATTAGTGCTACACACCTAAAAATCACTGGTTTTCATAATAATTAAAGTTTTCATTGTAAAAAATACTGACTTATCAGTAATGGTTTTGTTGAGAAGACTTCAGCGAACAATTTGATGGCAGTTTTGAAACTCCTGACTCCATCCGGCGAGAGAAACACTGCACTTAATACAACCTTAAAAATTTGTTGCCAAATGTGGCGACACCTCTTTCTAATGACTTTTCTCGCTCAATAATAAACATTTCAGTTCAAACTGGCAATTTTCTTGAACATTAGAGTCTCTTTTCAGCAAATATTGCCAAAGAATTCATGATCAGTACTGATTTGTCATCGCAAATTGCTCTTTTGCTTCAAAATCGGGGTTGGCGACGCGTAACCGACCGGACATTTTCGGCCTTTAAAGTCTCATATTATTAAATATAATAATAATTTATCATATTTTTTAGCATGGATAGGTTCAGGGACATCATTCCTATTGATTTATTCATTTGGTTTTTAAGTGTTTTGCCCTGTGTCGTTCATAACCCACGGCGACACGACTATTCCTCTTATCGTGAAATCACCCATATGTTCTCTCCTGAACTCTGTATCAATACATTCTCTGTCATTGATAAAAAGAATGAATTCCCTAGAAATAGCTTTCATGGCAAATTTTTGGGGAGGTACTTTGAAAACTTTCCATAAAACTAGCAAAAGACTCCAAAGTGAGAAAATCGATAGGTATTGGTGAAATTAAACGTCAATACCAATCTCTTACTAATTTCGTGTCATTTGCGCCAAGACAGTGAATTTGACCGCCTAGAAGGCTTGGCAAAAGAAAAATCCGGTGTTTCCACTTACAAAAGTGACGAAAAAAGACGCTCTCGGGAGTCTGAAACTTCCTTTAAAGGGCGAGATGATTTTCGAATTAATACATTCAATGTCATTTTAGACTCCCCAAGAACTGAGTTTAGCAAACGCGCTGAAAAGTATGACCATCTTCATTCAATTTTTGGATTTTTTGAGGACATTGACATGAAAGACAGTATGGAAATTTCAAAAAAAGCGACTGAACTTGTGATGCGATACCCAAATGATTTTGAATTGTCATTGGTTGATGAGTGCTTGCACCTCAAAGCTTATCCGGGTCAATGTGAGGAATTCCTATGGGAGCAAAAGGGTGATAAAAAAATTAGGAAATCGTCCAGTCTTGTTGGACTTTGTAAATTTCTTCGTGAGAGGGATGTTACAGAAATTTACCCAAATGTAAATATAGCTCTTTGTATAATACTTTCCACCCCTGTGACCAACTGTTCCGGAGAACGCTCATTTTCCACCTTGCGGCGTGTTAAGAATTACCTCCGGGCAACAATGGGAAATGAAAGATTAACAGCGTTAGCAATATTGACTATCGAGCGGCGGATCACCGAACTGATTGACTACGATGATCTGATTGACAGTTTTGCCAGAAATAAAGCCAGGAAAAAAGCATTATAAAATAGTGAGTAAAATTTTCCTTTTACTTTTTTCAACTTTTTCTCGCCTTGCTTAGTTTAATTTTGCTTTTTTTTTAATTCCCTATACCTTTGAAAAATATGGTAGCACAATTGGCTTTTGAACCACCAAATTTTTTTCTGAAATAACCTAAATAAAGTAGCTTTATATTGCGTTAATCAAATGTCCGATTTTAAAAATTTTCCGGGGGAGGACCCCCGCCCCCCCCCCCCGGTACGGTCGTCCGTTCTGAGAGGGGCGCGATTGTCAGATTTGCCTAGGAGCGCTGAAAAGGTAAATCCGGGCCTGCTAGTAACTCTACTTCAGACTTCCGTTTTTATCATGGACGCAGGTCGTGAAAGTGTTGTTTGCCCCCGGTGCCGCTGTTTGTTTGTTTTCGCCGCCCCCCCCCCCCCCCCGTCCCGCGTTTCGGAGACGGGAGCTCACTTCTGCTAGTCCGCCATCCCCGGGGACTGCTCGGGTCTCTCGAGATCAAAGGCTTCAATCCGCTCAACCTGGACCTTCGCAGCCCCAGGCCGATCAGCCGCGAAGCATCCCTCCTGCCTCTTCCAGAAGCACTGATGGGGGCTACTGGCGTCAGGCAAAAGCTCACCCAAGTCCGGGCAGGACCACAGCACCGGCTCTCTGATCATCTCCGCTCCACGCTACCTCGTTTCCCTGTTCTTTTGTGGCCTAGTTCACGATACAAAAAAAGAGGCAAAATTCCACTTTGCCCGCCTCTCCCCTACATACCATGTTTGGGTGCTCATAACTTCCTTGAAACACAGTTGTCTACGCGGCGCAACAGAAAGCATGTCGCGGAAATGCTGCCCTCATTCAAACTTACCTCCTACTAGAGTCAATCAGGTGAGGACAAGACCCTTCCTCTCAACCATCCACCTCAAAAATGAAAACTCGCGATGACGATGATACATCACATCATGATGCTGAAAATGATGACACCAAAAGCAAGAGCACGCTGCCCTCCTTCAAACCTACCCCTACTCGAGTCAATCAGGTGAGGACATGACCCATTTTTCAAAAACTGCAATCTAGCTGCCGAAGTCAACAAACGGACGGAGGAGCAAAAAGGTCGATTTTTGTCCATTCACCTACCAAGAACCGCATGCATGAAAATGATGAGTGTGTGGTCAGATATTTGAGAAAATCTGGAGCAAGCGACACAATCAACTTGTGATTCAAGAAAACACCGATAATCAGAAACCAAATAGCCAAAAAAAAGGGAAGGCCCGCACCAGCAGTTATACAGCCTAAAACTTCAGGAAACCCCCAGCAACTACAGTGGACAACTCTTCGAGTGATCTATTGTCCCAGATTTTTCGATGTTCACGGATTTCAGTGTTCTACTTGTTAAAGATATTACATGCTACATTCTTATGAAAATATCTTTAAAATTTTATTAAAATTTGCGCGTAAACGTGAGAGCTGAGACCCTCTGCTTTCTTTTGTCTTTGTACTTATTTTTATCGAAATTTCAAGTAAATGTACAGTCTATTTAATTTATTTTTTGTTACGAATGTTCACAGGAAGCCTTTGAAGACATTCTATCGATTGTTGTGGAAATGCTTACAAGACTGTACAACCAATAAAACAAAAAATTAGTAAATTCTACGCAAGGACGCGAGGAATTATTAAAGAAAATAAACAAGATGAATTGTCGTTCCATCTGGCATTTCTCTTAACTTTAGTGATAATTTGTGTATATAACTACTAAAGGACGTTGACCCTGTGAAGCTCCACAGAGGACAGTAGAATAGTCAGACAATGTTATTTTTGGACTTCCCAGGACACATGGCATGTTCTCAATGGCTGCAATTTGATTGGGATGAAAATAACTGGTTCCTTCATCCTTCATTTTTACAGAACAGTTCTGTAAGAGGTAACATTCAACTTTGTCAGATCAAATTATACATTTTTACACATTTACCCTTACCATACCTAAGAAACAATAGCACCTGAGAGCAATTCGAAGGATTTAAAATTGGGAGTGAGAGAACACCAAATGTGTCACTCCGACAGATGAGCAAGAAGACGGTAAGTATTCCGATATAATCTACATCAGGGTTTTAAGGGATTCAACTTCAAGAAATAATTTTCTTTTGTCCATTTGTACTGCCAAGTACATTATTGTCATTTACAAGTCTTGATCAGGAACATACTCAGGCTTGATTTATCCCAAATGTAAGAAAAAGACCTACACAGGAAAAAAATTTATCATTTTAAACTTCTTCAGCAAACCTTTGAAGATGGCCTTTGACACTCCAGCATGGTCATGAATTTGAATGTGAAGAGTCTTAAGACTGCAGCTCCATGTCTTCCTCTGAGCTAATAAAAGAAAAAAACCAAACAGGAAATCAAAGTAGGTACTCATATGAATACATTCCAAACAACATCACAGTCACTAGACAATGGGCAGTGTACAGTCCTAGCTTAAATTATCGAAGCCATTTCCGATCATTGCGGGGTCGGGCAGAAGTGATAAGGTTTTCTTTTTTGGCGCGTATACGTAGTATACCGCCTTTGCGATCGTTTCGACCCCCCACTCGATACAATAACCGAGTCCCTTAGTTCCTTACCGAAAAGTGACTACCGCGAACTTCTGAGATTTTCCAAAGCGTGTAAAAAGTTTATTTTTCCGTCAATAATTATGATTTAAAGTTGTTTCTCATTCTGGGGCTCCCTAGTTTATGTGCAGTGAATACCAAGAGTCTACGTTACTTGGTTTTTTTAAAAAAAGCCTAAGAGTGGGGCGCGCTGATTTAAAATATGCATATATAAGCAGAATCAAGCGAACTGATTCGAGGATGGCTGACCAGGCCGGCACTCTAAGAATGAGAAAATTACTCCTCCGTTTCGTTCATAACGTTGCTTTGACAAATCTCCACACCACTGTTAGGCTTTTCAAAAGTTGGTACCTTTCCTCTGATAGCGAAGGCCAGGCCAGACAACCGTAAGTGCAATCTGTGATGAGCCTCAAAACTCATTAGACCATGTGCTAACCATAACACATACAGAAATCAGTTTGCTTTTACAGAAAACCACTTACCCTTCTCCTCCCCGCACACCGGACCTCTGTCCCGACACAGAGGCATTTTCTTTTGTCCTCCCGAGCGACCCGACCCGGACCCTCACCCTTGATTTTACGCTTGATTAACCATTTCACCGTCACGCTAGGATTCGTCCAATTTTCAAAAAAAATTGTTTCGCGTGTACTTTGCAATTTTTTCCTCACTCTCCGTTAAAACACGAATTAAAAGAGGTCTCATTCATAAAAATCGGCCGAATAGAAGAGAAGTTACAGTATTCGAAATCCGAAGTAATCAACGAAACTTCTCCAGACAAAAAATAAAATGAAGGGAAAAAAAGAAATGTATAAATTACAATTAAATATAATTGACCTCAGAATTTGACAAGCAATTCAATTATGTAACGGAGAAAAAATTGGGAGAAATTCCAAAAAATTCGCCTCTTGCAAGGGGCTTCCTTGTAAGAATTTTGACCTGAAGATAAGGTTTGAATAGCAGCAGTACTCCATACAATACACGGTGTGCCTGAACGAACATTTTTTTTTTTTTTTCAAACTCGAAAATTCTTTATATTTTTTAACTACAGTGTCTCTTAAGTCGTTTAAGCTAAAAAATAATTCCGTCAAGATTCTGGAAAGTAAAGGCGCTTTAAAAGTATTCTGGGGCTATAATAGCTAAATCACGGGGAGTAAATCCCGTTATTTTATTAAAAAGAAACTGACTCCATAGTTTAGTGCCTTAGTTTTTTGAATAATACGATTATTTTAGGCACTCAAACATTTATACCACCAATTATAGCCATGGGGTGATTTCCTGAGAGCCGATAATATCACGAATTTCTCATAGAACCTTTCAAAAATGGCTTGCTTTTTGGGCAGCCAATTCGGTCATCGAACCGGGATTTAAATGGAAGCTGATAATAACACAAAGCTCTGAGAAAAATTTTGAGATGAGTATAGGAGCGGTTTGTAAATAACGAGGAGAGGCGGGCAAAGCGGCTAAAATTCTATCTAATTTTTACCATTATTCAGTTGAATGGATGTTGCCGCGGACTGCTAACTGTGTCCACACATGGTTTCCGTTCTGGTTCTGGTTTTCTGATATGCATATCGATACGTGAGTATTTTTACACGTAGAATCCAATGTTCACGTCAGAGAGTCGACACATTTCGATTTTTTCGATTTTATACGGAAAATTGATGGTTTTTCGGGATTGAAATTATTATTGTTTCATGAAAAGTAAATGCACCCAAAATGACTATAGCATATTGATTTTTACATATTTGCACTCACAAAATTGGTTGGTAAATTCAACGAGTGGGTGCATCGACTTGGTATATCAAGTTTCTACAATTTAATACGGCAAATCGGTAGATTTTCGGGATGTAGATTGCTTACTTTCAATTCATGAATGAATAAAGCATGGACATGGTTGAACTTCTTTGCATGGAAATACGTTTAAAATAACAAAATCAAGACATATCTAATGCATTGAATTTATGTCGAGTCAATTTCTTTTCAATAATATAACGGGATTTATAATGCTGGTGATTTGGGTATTTTAGCCCCAAAATACCTTTAAATCGACTTTATCTTTCAGGAGTTCGACAAAATTTTTTCTTTCTTCGCTTAAATTATTGCGTAGCACTTTTCTTTAAGAATCTGATAAGGTTTTGCTTGGGGCAGATCAAAAAACTTAAACTCGTTCGAATGGCTTTTTACATTCACAATACACGGTCTCGTCAAAGTGCATCGTTGATCTTTCAGTTTTGGATCGTATGAATTCTCTTGTTGTGCTACTTACCTATTTTGAAATCTCTATAAATGAAAACTAAAGGGGTTGATTTGTGCGAGTTAATGACGCGCCTTATCAACACATTGTGTTGGAGTTCACTGCTTGTTTTTTTTTCTCCTCACCTTGGAAATGGCAGACGAGCAGTTTTCTCACTATGAATGGTTGAAATGTCGATTTTTAAAGAAAAAGTTTCAGGTCTTTTGTAATTGCTCAAAGCTACTGATCTTAACACGTTGTAGCTAAATTTAATTAAAGCCAGTGGGTTAAAAGATATGGGTAAAATATTACATGCTATGTATTAAATTAACTTACTTGAGCAATGCCGAGATTAAAGGTATAATTTCATTTGATTTATCAATTCCTGTGTGATTTTCACTTCCTCGATTCTGGAAAAAACAAAAAGCTTATTTGTGATGGTGACAAAGAGGTAAAAATTAAACCTTGCGAAATTAACCTAACCCTAACCTAACTCGAGCTAATCAGATGAGTAACAGCTTCTCTTGCTTAAACACTGATTAATAAGATATGTAAATACTTTTGGTTTTTTACATTCGTTCATTTTTTAAATTTTTTTAGACATAATTTTTCAGTACTTTCTGAAAGAAGTTATGTTTTCAGGTTTCCAAGCAAAATCATTGGGAAATTGGGGGTAAAATCTCAATTTGTTGACTTTCCTTTGCAGAATTTGAAATACAAGAACTGAAAGATTTGGTGGCTGATTAAATTTATTTTTTTCTTCTCTTTCATGGCATTGCACTGCTTCATCACATTTGTGGACAGAGGGCTATCCAAAACTGAGAGTCAAATACTTCAGGTTACTAACTATCTGTTTATGATAAACAGTCACCTCTAAATTTGGATAGAATTCAATTATGAGTAAAAGCTCTTTCTGACAATATAAGGATTTATGCTTTATAGTTTTGTAATGAACAATATGTAATTGAACTTACAGATTCGTCAGTTTCATAAACTGGTGGTAGAGCTCCTGCTGAGTCAGATTCAGGCTCAATGATAGAGGAGATTTCATCGCTGGAGGAGTAAAGAGTCGATATAGATGTGATGGGCAACAGATCTTTTGGTTCAATCGCAATAGACTGATTCGACTGCAACTGATTTACTACAATTGAGGGTAGCGATGAAGATGGTAAACTCTGAAACAAATGAAAAGAATGATAATATAATTATCACTTCTCGCGTTTATTCTATCGGTCATATTTATCAGGACAGTGTGAAAACTTTTTTATACCGATTCTTCTAAGAAAATTCTAGAAAAATCAGCGAGAAAAAGTTTCCACACTATCCTGATAACATAATTCTAAAAATTGCGGCTATGTGCAAAATAGCTGTACCTACTAAAGCTCAGGATGGTAGGAGAGAGGAGTTGCTATACTTGAAAAATATTACCTGATCGACAGACTGGTGAGTAAATACAAATGAAAATTCTATAAATATGTACTATCTCTGCACAAATGTCATACCTACACCATTTTGTTCTGGTTCAAACACTGGCAGTAACGACAAAAATGAAGGAATGAATGTAGATGACTAATAGGTACTGAAAGTGTGCTGAAAAGAGATGAGGGAAATGTGGTTTCTTAGTCGATGTATTTTTCAGTGAAATGAACTTTACATATGGAGGTAAACTTAGTACATATTGAAAAAACCCAATTGAAAGTTTAAAATGCTCTTTCTTGGAAGCTTTTAACTATTTCATGATAAGTAAAAAACCCTGCGTCAGATGTTGTCTGTGAAGGTTATGAGTCAAGATTTTACTAAGTTACTAGCTCTATGAGAAATTGGCAAATACAGAATGAATCTGCATGTACTTTTATTACCAAATAATGCTATTTCAGTAGAGTTTATTCGATGCATCAGAGTTTATTCCTTTCAAGCTTTTATTTTGCCTACAACCATATACAAACCATCTATTTTTAGATAGATAAAATCGTATGCATTTGGAAAATGGGCACTCTGTAAGAGGAGAGCTTTTTTCAAAAATGCATTAATTGACCAACAATGTATTTTTGAAAGGCAACATTGTAAGGATTTAGAATATTCATTCTCTGCAAAAAAGGAAAAGAACGCCTTACACCCTTTTACCACAGAGTGCCTCAATCACCCTAAAAGTAGTTGGGGCAGAGAAACTTACTTTTGCTTCAATATCGCTTGATACTGGTGCTTGATTTGCACTGGAAACCGGAGGCTCCGATTTCTGAATCGAGCCACTTGATGCAGGAAGACTGAATGCAGGTAAACTTGATGCTGGGTGACTAATTGTGGGTAGACTAGATGCAGGTATACTCGCTACGAGGGGACTGGAAGTAGGGAGACTCGAAGCAGGTAGATTGGATGCAGGGACACTTGAATTCTGAGACAGAGAGCTATCGACAGTGACCGAGAGGGGCATGCGAGGACTCTGCTCCATTGAAGCAACTCCAGACTTGCGTTGGAGGGAAGCATTGGTGTTCGGCGGAGTAATTGTTCTTCGTTGAAGTAGCATATTGGTAGGCATGCTGACTCCATCGTCTGGTTTGAGTGGTGCTGCTTCTTCAAAAATGGTTCCCTGAACATGAGTCAGTTTAGCAGGTGAGGAGCTTCGTCTTTGCGGAGCGTTTACAGTTCCTGGACTCTGCAAGAAAAAGGAAAAATAATGATTAGAAAAATTGACAGAAACAAGAAGTACAAATATTCTTGGAAAATGACTTTTAAAGTTAAATTATTCTTACATTATAGACCTGGTCAAAGGATGCTACCAATTGAGGTAATAGTGATTGGCTCTTCTTGGTTGCAGTGTTTTAGAATCTCAATTGCTAATTAATGTCTTGATAAAGATTCTAGTGGGTGATTTTGTTGGAATATTTTCTTTGGATTATTTCTAGTATTGTAGAGAATATTCAGAATATTCACTTTCCTTACAATGAGTCAGATATTAGCGGCGATTTTGAAACGAGACAATCGAGAAGTGCCTATCTCGCACCAAACGCATCAATTCAAAGAATCTATTCAATTTTTTACTTCAAGTCCAACTTTAAGCGTGTTACAGTTTGATAAGAACTGCTCTCTTTTATTTCACCAGCCAAAGCACTCAACCAGTAAACAAAGACCTGATGACATCTGCTGAATAGTAATCAATGAGTTAATTGAGAGACTATTTTGAATACTCATGACATCTGACAAACATTGAAGAATACTTACACTGGATCTTGTGGAGGGTGAAGGTGAGGGTATTGATAGGCGATGCTGTTGCCTTAAGAAATCATGCATGAGTTGCATTTCATATGGATTTGAAGGCGTGAATGTATTCATCTGCATTAAGTCTGAAAGAAAAACAAAACCTGAACTGTATTGACAAAACAAGGATAGAATAGTAAAAACTAATCTGAAAAAGAAATAATTAAAATCAGTAAAAATTTTGGTAAAAAATATGGTACACTCACACCGAGTTAAAATTTAAAATTTGCTATATATACAGTGGAAATCAGATACAACGACCCTCCTAAAGCCTAGGGCCTGGGCCAAATTTGGTCGTTATATCCATTGCTCAAATACATTGCATTGAATAAATTGGCCACGGGACTGGCCAGATCGCAGTTTTTAAGAACAAATATGTTGTTATAAGCGATGTTGTAATATCAAATTTTCACTGTACATCGTTTCAGAGGTTTGACACCTCAGGCACGTGTAAAGCAAATTTTAAATTTTAACAAGATACCAGTCTATTAAATTATTTATCAACATTTTTGAAGATAGACCATTTCATGATGGCCAGATGCAGGCTTGAAAAGTATTTAGTTTCTTATACTTACTTAAAAGAAAAAGACAGAAAATTATTCAGCACAATTTAACACATTCAGTATAATAGTTTTTTCAAAGAGCTCTCCTCCAGGCAGTTTTACAACTTGTGTGGCAATGAAAACGCGCAGCTTAAATATGGAAAGAAAAAAATCTGACTTCATCCAAGATAGGGCTGCGGAAAATGCTGGATCACACGAACTTGATTCTGCCACAATCTCGATATATTTTGAGAGAGCAGTCAAGGTTAGCTGTAAAATATGTATTGAAACTTCCGAGATTTTTTCTTCCTTCATTTTCTCTTTGTTATTCTTTCATTTATGCACCTATGCTCCAAAGCATAAGGCACATTATTCTAATGAATTTATTAATTTTTTTTATTTATGTTTTTTTTTTTAATTTTAATATTTTATCTATGCAGGAAATAATTATGGCAACTGTACAAATCACTCTTGCAAAACTTGACTTACGGAGGTTTTGTTGGGCCCTCGAGGTGATTTTTTGAGTGGCAATTATGGCATCAATTTGAGTTAAAACTGTGAACATTTCTAATCTCTGTTTGGCGGAGGAATGGGTGCAGATCAAACCCAATTGAAGAAAACCAGTGCTAGCCTTCAACTCATCGGTCTCCGCTTTATGATCTAGAAGCTCATGCAATTTACTTTTGTCATACTCGTGAACAAAGTCTCGCTGAAAAAGATTGACACATAAGTACTTATAAATATTGATAGCAACTTTATGGTTCAAGATAAAGTTTTCCGTCGTTTAAAATCTCCTAAGTTCTGAGAAAAGATGAGCTTATTTCCACTCCAGAGCTGGTGACTTTGTTCCACCACTTCAGGTAACTTTCTAAGGGAACATCAACTTTCATGTCACTTAAAGTCATTTTACAGGGTTCAGCTAAGAGAACGAGGATGAAAACTTATCAATAAAATCTCACACTAGATTTTCACGAGGGAACTTTCATTTGCCCAGACAAAGTTTTGGAGGAACAGTAAGTGACAAAACTTTCTTTATCCTTGTTTGTAAATTCACCTGGTGGTGGAGATTGACTTAAAAATCATCATTGAAAAGTTTTGAGCTTATTCTGCCCTCAAAAGAGACGATGAGGAGAGAAAAGTCATCACTGGCCTTGAGCGTGTTCTGACTAAATCAAGAAAGTATACTCAAGGGCAATTTTCAAAGACGATGGATCAGTTGCGCTGGTCATAGAATTGTGTTTTGATGCTTGAATCTTGTAGACTAGCTTAGAATGATAAGATCTGTCCAAACCGCAACTTTCTATGTTCAGTATTAACCGAGATATTGCCCTTTGAAAAGTCAGGTTTTTGACGTCATCCAACGCGGTAGTGACACCCTTGGTTTCTTCCTTGTTGCTTTCATCATTCGGTGTGATGTACATTAGCACTGGTTATTTAACGTGAAACCTGGATGAAAGCAAGATGGATGAAACCAAGGGTGCCACTACCGCGGCAGATGACATAAAAAACCTGATGGTTCAAAGGGTGATATTCCGGTTAATACTGAAAAGTTGCAGTTTGGACAGATCTTATTATTTTTAGCTGATCCACGAGAATCAAAACACGATTCTGTGACCAGCGCAACAGGCCCATTATTTTAACTGATAATTCCAGAAAACTTATTTTCAATCAATCTGGGTTTGTCATAATAATAATCTCCTTTAAAGAATCACACTTTGAGAAATCAAAAATGATTTTCATTACTTCACTCAGAATTTGTCAGAATCTGCTTACCAATAATTTTTGAGGTCTCTTATCATCATATGCCCTCAGTCCTGTTGCAATTTCAAATAGAACCTGAAACCATAGGGAAAAATGATACAATGAAGAAAAGTTAAGAAAGAAAGAAAGGAAAACAATGAATTTGGACCCTCCTGACAAAAGGTGTACATGTTTGTGAGGGGGCATGGTCTCCCAGACCAAGGTTTTTCGGAGAGTTTAATGACTTGATTCCCAGAAGCTGTTGTAACCTTCTCCTTGTTTTAATTGTTTTTCAATTGGTGAAATTTTTTAATTGATGGATTTCTGAGAAGTCGAGAAGCTAAAAGAATATGATACAAATAATTTCTAGTGACATTTGTGGGCTGCTCCCAGTTATTTCAAGAAACCAAAATTAAAATGCCAAAAAATAGTTCCATGAGAGGAAAACTCAGTTTATCTGACAAGATTTATTTGGATAGTGATATTTGTGACCACAAGAAAATAGATAGACTTGCTTTCATGTATTTTAAATAGGGAAATGAATAAACAATGTTTCAATGACTTGATCATAATTAACGATTCAAGAGAAAAAATTGGTTTAAGTTGAAAACTTGAAAAAAAATAGACATAATAATAGCTTTGATGGTACAAATTATTTGTACTATGCGCATTAGTCTTGATCCATTAGCAATATTCTCCCAGGAAATTACTGTTTCTTTTTTTTCATGAAAAAATTAAATTAGGATGTTGCGTCACTTACCACTCCAAAACTGTAAACATCAACTTTCACAGAGAACTTTTTGCCTCTGAAAAATTCTTCGGGTAGATACGCCTTAGTACCATGCACCTTACTGACTTTGACACTTGTGTAATGTTGCAAAGGTCCTTCTTGTGTAAGACCAAAATCACCAATTTTTGGCTCAAAGGATTTATCCAGTAGGATATTTGCACTAAAAACACAGCATAAAATTAATAGATCAATGGCTAAAATCGAAAAATGCATTTATGTAATGCAAAGTTCCAAAATCTCTGACAATTTTTCATCTTTTGAAAGGAAACAGAGCTACAATATCTCCTTAAAATTTTTGGCGAATACATTTGGCCAAGAGAGAAAACTTAAGGTTAGGTTAGGTTTTATTTTAAAAAAAAGAAAGAAAGAAAAAGCATGAGCAGTGATTTTCTGTCGCGATTGGACATATGCATTTCTTTACTTTAACCATGGATGTATGTATCATTTCATAACTTTAATATCCATGTAATAAAAATCCAAGAGAGGTTTTCAGTTTCAACTACATATGAGGACTGCAATGCCCTTTTAACAGAAGAGATAATAATATTTTTTCATCCTTTATAAGATAAAAACTTAAACTGGGGAAAGGCTGCAAAAGGGGGACAGATCAAAAGAAAAACCCGGAACGTTTAAAAAAAGTAACAATTCCATTTGAAACGTTCCAGGTTTTTCTTTTGATTTGTCCCCCTTTTGCAGCCTTTCCCCAAATTACGTTGATATTTTATTATGTGTTTTTGGCTGATTAAGTTGTTTTTCATCCTTTATAAGGCAGCTAGGACAGACTGATTGGAAGACCAGTAAATGGAAAATACAGAGGCTATTGTATCACATGAAAAATTGATGAGCAGGTAAAAAAAGGTAAAAAAAGTGGACAAATTCTACTCATCCAGACTAAGTAATTTACATTTGTCAATCACATTCTTGATAATTACTATTATTCAAAACAATTTGGAATTTTTTATGATAATCCAAATCTTATGAATGAAAAAGAGAGGAGGATCTTTATGAAGCCACTAGGCAAATAAAATTTGAATTATACCTCTTGATATCTCCGTGAATTAAAGGTGGCTTCCGATCATGCAAGAACTGTAATCCCAGAGCTGTTCCTCGAGCAATGTTGTATCGCTGAGACCATGTCAATGGCTTGGTATTTTGCTGAAAAAAGATGTAAAAAGAAGAATTAACCGAGCGAAAGGAAATTACAGATTATACAAGAGAGTGTATTAAAAAAATTGGATGACCAGTCTTTGATGAAGACATTAACACATGACCAGATGATGAAAATATAAAATTTTACCTACTTATCTTTTCCTTGACCAAATAGCTAAAACATTATCAAGAGACACTCCATCTCGAATTTTGGGCTACTGCAATTAAATGTCTGAAACAATTTCCATTTTCAAAGATTGACAGAAATCTAAACGCAACAACTACAGCTGAATTCTTCAACCTGTGTTAGAGATGATATGCTGCCACTTTTTATTAATCATGGAGCTAAGAACCTGACCTTTCCAAATAAACGTAAAACAATGGTGTATCCAAAAAATCTTAATGATCTAGAACACTCTCACAGCAATAGTATTGTTAGGTTTGAGCTATTTAAATGAATTGACGCTTACCAAGAATGATTTTTTTTACTATCTCACATGCCTACATACTAAAAATACAAAACAGGTTAAAATTCTGATTCTCAGATTCATTTTCCTTTTTTTTTATTTAGATAGACTAAGAGAATATGGAGAGTTTCAGCCCCAACGCACAAATAAAAAAAAGTTTAGTCCAATTTTCTACATCTTCTTTGAGAGAGTTTTTTCTAGTTATCATTGTTGTTCCTACCTGTAAGATTTTAAAATTCTGAGGCTTTTCTCAAGCACCTTACTAAAATTAAGAGGAAAAACATATTTAGCGCCTCAGAGTGTTGTCTCCTGCCTTAGAGGAGTATCTCAAGTGTTGCTAAAAATATTTTATAAAGGATTTTGCTGGTGTGCTCAAGATACCGATTTTTCTTCAAACTATTAAACGATATGGAGCCCCCATTTTTTTGCGCAAGGAATGCTGGAGGGGCTTAAATAATGCACTCACTCTGCACAAGAGACGATCTTCCAAAGATCCATTGAGCATATATTGGTACACAAGACAAAAACGGTCACCATCTGTGCTGAATGCAAACAATGCGAGAATATTATCGTGTCTACAGTCATTCAGGTACTTCAATTCTCGATAAGACAGCTGCTTTTGGAGTTCTAAATTTGCTCCTTTTCCTAGAGATTTCTGAAACAAACAAAATAAATATTCAATTTCTTATCATTCATTCCGTTTTTCAAGCTAGAGGTTATTGCTACTTTTAATTAAGTAGTTTCATTAAAAAAATTAGATCCTTCGATGGAGGGAAATTTGTCATTTGCAAGAAGTTATTTGACAAACATATGTAAAAAGCTTACGCAATTCTCTGACAAAATTTAATGAAAGTGGTGTTTCATATTCTCTATGAATTCTAATTGGTTGGATGGGAAGCAACATTTTGAAAGCAGAACCAAGATTCTCTATCCTCTCCTTCTTTTTCCAAGCTCAGCAGAAAAACAAACTGACAAAATAAACATTTACTAGAGGATCAGAAGAGACAAATCAGGACAAGCACATTCATGTCCGAAAATATCTAGGCACAGGGATTTACTAAAAACTACTGTGATTTACTACTGACAGTGATTTGACTGGGACCCTGCAAGGTTATCCAGGACTTTTCTCTACGCCCAAAAATGACCCTTTTGGACCTCTTTCTTTGATATGCTTATAAATGGACTCTCAAAGACATGTAACTCACCTAATTGAGAGGGCTGCTCACCCTGCTTGGAAGGCTGCATCATACTTTCATGAATCATGAAATACAATTTCTATCCTTGAGCAATTAAAGATTGGGGGAAAAATTAGAACAAAACTTTTAATTTCCAGTGTTCACAATGGGTGAATTAGAGGATTGAATGGAAAAAAAGAAGGAAAAAGGTAAAGATGGAGAAAAATATAACTTACATGAGGCTCCAATCTTTTTATGGCAACTTTGGTGCTTTTCCAAGTTCCTACAAACACTGTCCCAAAGCCACCTCGACCTAGAATGTTCGAAGAGTTCCAGTTGTTGGTCGCAATTTCTAGTTCTTTATACGGAACACATGGTGTACAAGCCTCAGCTGCGAATGAGGCTGCAGATAAATCTAAAAAAGACGGTAATCAGGTCATGATCAACCAAATGACTAGTTGCGCTAAACTTATTAATTTACAGTTTTTTAAAATAATTCTGAATTAAGGGATATTCACAAACACTAGAGGTAGTTGAATTTTTTCTTCATTGAAAACCCTTCATAGCTCTAGTGGCTATCAAATGCTTTGCAGCCTTGGTCAGACCTTTGCCATTGCTTTGGTAGGAAATTATCAAAAACTTAACAATTTGGCTCCTGCAAATTCACTCATGATGAATATTCCCAAAAGTGAAACAATAACAAGAAAGAAGCAAATTTTAACTTCCGTTGCTCACCAAAGCAAATTTAACAACGTTTAGAAGCTATGATTAAAAGGTCTTTGACAAAAAAAGTTTGGAAAATAGGTAATCAGTTTTGTCTTAATTCAAAACATTCCTTTTTTGAAAGAGTGCTCACAGAGTACTTAAGGAGAAATTTTGATTATTTAATTTCATCCAATTCTAGAATTTTGTTGTTGTGCTAGAGGGAAGCGTATAGTAACTCTTCAGTTCTGCCAAAGACAAAACAATGTACTGATGAAAAGGGTGCGATTTATATACAGAGATAAAAGATCATACCAAAAGGCAAGAGGTGCCTTTTCAAGAGAGATGAATAGGCATAAAATAGAGATAGAATTTTGAGATGAGGCGACCCATGCTTGTTGGTGAGCTTTTTAATTGAACAATTTGAGATAGAGTACTCAAAGCTTCAAAAAAAGGCTGATAATGGGGTTGTCATTCTGATAGGAGACTGATCTTAATAGAATGGTATCACAGTCATAGTAAACACACAAAAAATACTATGAAAAATACCAAAAAACCTTATAAATGAAAAATAAAGCTTACATACAGAATTAAAAAATTGTCAACTTGTCTAGCTCATCAAACTGACTTCCAAAAAATTTCAGAAAACCTTCGTTTGAAGAAAATACAAACTCATTGAAAAGATAATACTTACCAGTCGTTTTTTTGGGGATTTCGATGTTGGCTGCTTGATCATTATTGTTACTTATCTTATTTTCTGTTTTTGGAAGACAAAGTTTATCTTTCACCCCAGTTTCTTTTTGGATGTTCAGATTACCCTCAAGGTCTAGATTCTTCTTCTCATTGGTCTCAGTGTAACCCTGAGAACAGCAGGGAAAAATCTCATAATATGATGTTTGCAACTTTGAGGGTAGAAACCATGTCTGAAGATGGAAATAACGCGCAACCATCGGCTAACATTGAGAATACATGTTAAAATTGAGTTCAGAACTTTAATTTTTAAGGGAGAGAAAATTTGTCTAAAACAAATTCCTAGATTTTGGCCGGGCTAAATTCAACTACTTTAAATTTTAATAATTTTAAATCATTTACTATGTTGGCCACAGAGGTGCTTCGGGAAAACATAACTGTGGGACAAAAGCACTGTCAGACACTGACAGGTGTTTCAATCACAATCCTACTCATTTCTGAACAGAAGTCAGAAATCATGAGAGAGTTTGAACAGGGAATAGAAAACATGTTTTTGAGACGTCAGGCAGAGCTTGGAAACCTTTGCTTGACACTAAAATATTTTTCAGTTTATAGTCAAATATTCACATCGTAGTTGGAAGAACCTGATGCTGTCTGGAACTTCAGATCGCTGTTAGGCACAAGCACCTGATGCCGTGACCGACATGTTTAATGTCCACATAAAGAACAATACATATAATCTCTTCACACTTTTTGCAGATTTACAGAGTGAAGACAGTAATTAAATATTCGATCACTAGATGCCAACTTACAGGCCCTTCAATTCTGCATGTTGTCACACATTTTAATTGACAGAGACGAGGGAGCCCTTAACATAAACAAGTGATACAAAGGCATTAACAGGATAATTGTACGCCGTAACAAAAGGGGTTCTTAGGAGTATGCTCTTAATGCTCCATAGCTAGACACCGTCATAGCACCTCCAGCAGGCTGATTGTCGAAATTGGTAGACAAAGCGATAGACAAAAAAGACAAAGGATATGAAGGGATCTTGTTGGTGGAAGCGGGTGGTTGCGATGGACAAAGGAGGTAGGTGATAGACTAACTAACAGCAATCCACGAGAGACCCTATAGTTAGTCCACCATTTTCTCCTTTGGTCTTCAGGAACCATCCATTTCAACCAATAGGATCGCCTAGTACTCCTTATGTCTTCTTTGTCTATCGCTTTGTCTTATCAATTTCAATAATCAGCCCGCAGTGAATAAAATGCACGGAAGTTAAGGTAGCCTTAGATATAAACAAAGTGATACTTGCCTGTTGGAGATGCGGAGCTATATTCTCACACTTGTCTGCTAATAAGAGCCTGCTTAAATTTTCTTCTCCTTCAAAAATCAGTTTATGATACTTGGGATCGACTGTGAAAAAAAATACAACGAAATTAAGACAACTGTCTAAGTCTGTTTCATTAGACATTGCTAAGACCGAACACTTAAATTTTGATAAGATTACTATTTGATCATGATCTGTTGAGAACAAGTTGGTTGCGCTGGTCACAGAGTTGCTTTTAGATGGCTAAAGCTCACAGATAAAAAGCAAAATCTGTCCAAATGCTAAGAGGTGGATAATGAAAAGAGATATAACAACTGGCGTCGGGGGGCCTGCTTCATCCTCCATTGACAGCCTGTGCCATTTTTTCTTTCATTTTATTGCTCTCATCAATATGTGATGAATAACAATTGAGTGGCTTGGACTAGAGTGCCTGTATAGCGAGAGTAAGGACAGCTCCCTTTATGGAGGGCTTAGGCCTCAAAAATGTAGCCAACTTTTTCACACGAAATATCCGAAGCCGATTCGTTGCCAAACTTCACATTCAGATCGGAAACTTGCAAAATGGCAGTCATTGAGTGTTTCAATCAACTTCCTCCTTGTTAATCATATCATTAAAACTAGATTAAAGCTAGCTTAAAACTCGCGAAAAGACCGTAATCGTATGTTATCATTTTCTCTTCGCTCAACAAGTTTTAAGAATGCAATACTGTGTGCGCGCAACTTTGGGCAATTTGAATTCATAGGTTGGCTGCCCTTTTGGGCCCTAACCTTATTTGCGGAGGCATCGATGAAGGTCTGATCGATTTTTGGAGTTTCACAGCTGTCTAGACTCTAACTATATAGGTACTCTAGCTTGGACCACAGCCTATCTCACTGCATTTCCAATGAGAAAAAGTGGCATTCTGCCTTTAAAATTTATAGGTTCACTTGTGATAATTCATAAGAAAAAAAATTTGCAAGCAATGTTTTGCACAGTGATTCATTAAGAAAATCAAATACTAGAGTGAATTTGGCAACATAAACTGCAGATAGACTGATTTTGGCCAAAGATGATTCATTTCACCTCGCTATTTCCTATATTTTGTTTCTAATTTCTTATGAATACCACAAGGTACTTATACATTACAGCACTTCCATGCAGAATTGGAAAAACTAAAAATATCAGCTTGTGTATTTTATACTGTAGAATTCCGCAGAGTCCTTAACTCATTTTTACCAAAATTTTCAGTTAGGCAGTATTCGATGGTGTAAGTCGGGAATCATATAACCTGGTTAGCGACGTCGCAGACTTCCTGCCATACTTTAGTTTTCAGATGGGAAAGTGCTCAACGGCAATTTTTTAAAGCTGCCTTGATTTTTTTTCTCTGTGCAAAGAAAATTCTGCATAAACTTCAAGGAATGAAGTCAATTTTTTCTCTTTTGAAAAAATATCATAAAGGCGGAGATTTTCAAACACCGCAAACAAGATATAGGATTGGAGACTTATGCTGTCGTATTATTCCTTACCCATTGCAATCAAATATTTACTCACCATAAGGCTTCAAAATGGACATGGCTTGGTAGTGCTGCATTCGAGACAGGAGAATAAATAATTCTTCTATTGTATGATTGTAAGTTTCCCACAACTGCAGCAACTCATTAGTTGGGGAACTTTTCCTCTTGACAGCTTGACCTATGTGATACAAGCAGGCATTGTCCAATTCCATATGCATCCCACCTTGAAACAGGTCAGTACAATAAGAAATTAAACACCAATTGCGGATCACATTTTTATGTTTAAAAAACACAAATCAGCAATCTGTCAGCTCCTTGTATCCCAGAATCATGCTTGGATGATTCTGTATCAGGAATCAATAAATAAGCATAGAGAAAAAAAGGAGGTGTTTGCATTTTGGGCATCTTGGAATTTTTTGATGACTTGATGACGTAGGTGGGTACAGCGACGTCCCCTTCACGCTAAACGTCGCTGTACCCACCTACGTCATCAAGTCATCAAAAAATTCCAAGATGCCCGAAATGCAAACACCTCCTTTTTTTTCTCTATGATAAATAGGTTTCCTAATACAGTGTTCCTACAGTCTAATTCAATGGAAATATTTCCCCTCAAAAGCTACAGTAATCTTAAGGATATGCTGTGATCCCAATATCGTAGTTCTCCTGACCTTCAGTTAAAATAATAATCGGATGAAACGACTGGTGCAAATGCACACACTGTCAATTGGTAAACCCAAGGTGGAGAAACTATAACAAGAACTATCACAGTGTGCTACCTCAAGCTTTTATAAGGTGTTAATAGAGCCATTCAATTCTAACTTGAGCATAGACTACGATTTTCAAACTTTTAGCATTTTCACCGATGAAAAATAGCCTCAGTGAAAAACAGGATCTCTCCGTAACAGCACACAGAAAGTTGAATTCTACCTCCATGTGAGCGTTGCCCGATTTATAATGGCATATCTAAAGAAAGGCTGCCTAGGAGTAGTTGAAATGAAGTGAAGAGAGTAGAAGACTGCTGCAAATAAAATACATGCCTCAGTTTCCTCAGGTGTGTCAAATCTCAATGATTGCCGGAGTCATGTTCACAATGACCTGAGGACACGCTTTAATCATGGTGAAAACCGAGACCGAAAATTATGGAAGATACAGGGTCACCTGAGATAAATTTTGAATTCAAATTGGTTAAGTATGCTTACCTAACTCTTCCCATTTGTCATTGACATCCAGAACAGTGCACAGTTTTTTCCGAACATGATACGGGAGGTGATAGATATACTTGAGATTTTCAGATGACATCATGCATGAGTGAATGGACACCAAATAATGAAGGATGTAGGACCTCCGAGTATGAGACTTTGGACTTACGGCGAAGTAAGAGAGATAATACGAAACATAATTCACTAGAAAGATAACTGCGACTCAAAATCAGGCAGAAACAGGGAAGTTTATCAGGAATTCAGGAAGCTGAAAACCACTTGTAGTCACATTGGTTGGTTCATCAAAACACGAGGGTTCCTCGCAGAGGTTCCTCGCCGAGTGGAATGGAATCCAGAAGGCGGTCCGTGCCGAAGGAACGAAACGGTCAACTCACGATTCCCTGCTTTTGACCGTTTAGGTTTCTATGTTAGGTTTTGAGATTCTTTCGAGAATATTTCCTTGTGCATTGAGTGCCCGGTGTGCAGTGCACTCTATCTAGGCATCTAAGGGTTAAGAAAATGCAATATTTAAAAGTGCATTCGTGCAAAGAATAAGGGTGGAGTTAAAACCGCACGCTACCTGTGCATGCAAAGCACACCCGTCAACTAGTATTACCGGTTGCGTTCTACCAAATTGAAGGAATTTTCAGTTCTCAATAATGTGTCAAGTCCAATTTTGACTTGAAAGGACGTTTTGGTATGTACTGAAGAGTGTCGCATGATACACACACAAGAGGTGAGACTAAAGAAAACCTTATTATACTCAACTTTGTTAATGATGTTAATAAAATTGGACCACAAGTATAACCTAGGTATCATTAATAACTTCATCATTATGGCATATGCCGCATATTACTTTCCATCACTACTTTTCCTGTAGCTTTTTTAATCAGTCTTAAGGGAGAACGGGAAAAGGTACCTTGGTAATCCAGTCCCTCTCGTGCGATACCAAGGAAATTCCTCTTTTTGAGACTTGGAAAACAATCTGTCCGCGAAATCTGTAAGGCGAAGGTGATTTAGGTGTTCTGTGAAAAGGCGATTTTACAAATTGGAAACACTGTTTTTTCACCATTTAAATCCATTGAAAATATCGATTTTATCAAATTATCAAATTTTATCAAATACTATTTTATCAAATCTCGGGAAAGTAGATTTTGGCCGAGAATATCTGGAGCTCCCAGCTCAATCAGCTCTCGTGTGAATTGAATTCTCCTCTGTACATCGATGGTGAAACTGCAAAAATACAAATCTCGGTTTGCAGCGTTGCAGACTTCGAATCATTCTTTATTTTCCAAGTGGCAAACTATAAGTGCTTGAACGTTATTTTTTGAAAATACGAGGGATTTCCCTGTCTTTATCAAGAATTTACTGTGGAAACTTCAAGGCGATGACGTTGGTCCTTTTAAAAAACAAATCAGGAGCGGAGATTTCGGAACACCCCAACTAAGATACGCATTTTTGAAGCTTTAACGTCGGTAATTCTTCAATCAAATTTCCCGGCTTAAGTAGATTTTAGTCGGGAAATTCTGGGAAGTCTATCGGGGAAGTCTTCACTCGATCCCTTTCTTCTTTGACTACTAGCGGCTGAAGCGGCTGACAAACAGGTGTCGCTACCTCTCGGACGCGGAGATTCTCGAACACCGCAACCGAGATACGCATTTTTGAAGGTCGTTATGTATTCCTCTATCAAATTTCCCGGGAAACTAGTTGTCAGCCGGGAATTTCCGAGAAGTTTCCCGGGAATGTCTCCACTCGATCCCTCTCTTCTAAAACTTTTAGCGGCTGAAGCGCCTGAGAAACAGGTGTCACTACCAGGGCCGGATTTACCTACTTGCCGCCCATGAGCCGCCTGTATTTTGCCACCCCCTTCTCATTCGTTTTGAAACATCAATAAAAACCATCAAATGAATGTGCCGGAGGAGGAGGGGTGCATAAGACGCGTTTACCTACTCGTGTTGGATACATTTTTTGCGAAAGCCCTGTCAACACGACTAGCAAAATTTCACGGAACTTGACGCGAAAGTTAAGTTCCATAAACCTATCTCTGTGTGGACAAGCTCCTCCATTTATAAGAAATGAACCAAAAAAATATGAAAGAACAAACAAATGTGGTTTAATAATTTTAACTTCCGCCGCTGCGCGCTGTGTTTGGCGCAATGCGTGAAGTATTCCTGGAGTCTTGTAGGCGCTATGCGTTTCACGCCAACCGCTCCTGACCGCACTAAGTTTGGCGTAATGGGTGAAGTATTCATGCAGTCTTGTAGGCGCTAATGTGTGTTACATGCCGACCGCTGCGCCGAGGGCTTGTCCTTTTCATCTCAAGTCCTCGTCATCATTTCTCTCTGCACTGAGCTCCAGGCCAAATTGCGTGTTTAGTTCCTCTCTTAACTCGACTAATGAAAGATGCTGTCTCTTGTGTCTTGCTGTCTCTCAGGAAAGACAGATTTTGTCCCCTGTTCTCATTGATGATTTTTTTTTCTGAACCAGATTTGTTTTATACCCACCTTTAAAATAAAATGCAAAATTTGCCGCCCCCTAAATTTGCCGCCATGGGCCGCGGCTCATGTGGCCACCCCCTTAATCCGGCCCTGGTCACTACCTCTCAGACGCGGAGATATCAAACACCGCAACCGAGATACGCATTTTTGAGATCTCAATTTCCCGGAAAAGTAGATTTTAGCCGGGAAATTCCGAGAAGTCTCCCGGGAAAGTAGATCCTAGCGAGGAGTCTCGCGGGAAGAGTCTCCACTGGATCCCTCTCTTCTTCAATGACTTTCAGCGGCTGAAGCGGCCGAGAAACAGGTGCCGCTACCTCTCGGCCGCCGCGGGAAACTCGCGGGCGGCTCGGCGGAAAACGATTGATTTTTCAGCGCGGGGTGGCGCTGCGCTGCGGGCGGCGGGTGGCGCGCAGGGCAGCGCCGGCACCGACGCCGCGCCGGGCCGGGCGCGGGGCGGCCGCGGCGGCGTTGTGACTGACGCGGACGGGACGCGTCGGGCAGTCACAATATTGGTCCCGTCCCGGCGAGTGGCGAGTGGGAGCCCGCGCCCGGCTCACGACACCCGAATTCAAACTCGGCTGCTTCTTTTAGATTTTAGGTCACCCTCCCGACGTTCAGTTTCGTGGCTCTTGTCTTCCCATGTGTACGTCCTCGCTCCGCCGCCGCCGCGCCGCACCGCGACGTCCGAGACCCGCGGAGACCGTCTGAGACCCGTCTGTAAACACGAGCATGACCGCGTCTGTTTTCTGACGTGCCCCCGAGAAATGCGCCCGGCGAATCACCTTCAATCGGGAACCAGCCTGCTTCATCCCTGAAGCGTTAACCTCCCTGCTACGGATCTAAGGTAGGTTTCTATCCCACGCCGGAACCGTTTCTACTTTTCCACCTCGCATCTCTTTGGGAGAAAACAGTCTCAGAGCGATGCCCAGACATCGTGGTGCATAGAGAAAAAAAAGGAGGTGTTTGCATCTTGAGGTTTGTTTACCCTGTGACGTAGGTCGTCACAACCTGGCCAGCGAAATCCGGAATTCGAAATTTGAAAAACGGACCATAATGTCCGATTTTTTTACTGAAATCAACTCATTACATAATTTCAAGCACTTTTTATAGAATGACTTGTTTCCTTGAATTGCACCATTTCCAAGAAAATCGACAGGATATAAACGTCGCTGTACCGACCTACGTCATCAAATCATCAAAAAATTCCAAGATGCCCGAAATGCAAACACCTCCTTTTTTTCTCTATGATCGTGTTGCAGCTTCATCGTCTCTAAGGGACTGGAGGCTGTATCGGACACAAAACGAGAAAAGCCGAATTGACAGAGTGTGGTGGTTACGCACATTACTATTTCGCCTTCAATTCAGAAGGTAGGCCAAGAGATACCCTCGGAGTAGCAATAGGTTATTTACTCGAAGATCCGCGTTTCATGCTGTCTAGAAATGGATTGTATTTTGCAGATAGGAACCAAGAGCATTCCAATGTCGCCAAGATCGTGCAACTTTTTTTTTACATTGCAAATACAAACGGATTAAATATCAAAACAATTTTTATCTTACTCTCAATAAACTATAAATTCGAGATGTAAGTTACCGCTGTCGATTTAATTTTTTTCATGATTCCAGGAATTTTATTGCAACCACGTAGGTATGTTGCACAATCCTAGCAACAATGGAATGCTCTGGGTTCCTTTTTGCAAAATGCAATCCAAATTTCCTTGCTGTAGAACATGCATCTAAGGAGTTTGATGCTAGCACTGTTTTTCAGCTCAAGTTTCAATTCATTATATCAAACTAACAATCCATTCCAGAATTTCTCTGAGGAAAATAGATGCAGGAACTACAAGGAACTTAAGTAACCTGGAAATGGCTGTTAGTAAATGTAAATTTACCAGACGTCTGGTCAAAGCATTAACACATGTGATGTGTGCTACGAGATAGCTTGGATGGGTATTAAAAGAGGCAGCGAGGTCTGGCCAGCACGTTAATAAACTCTTATATCGGGTTTCCTGTAATAAAAAAAAAAAAAAGAGAAAAAAACCGATGTTCACAAGCAATGCCACATGCTGTAGATTTCAGTAGTTCCCTATGAAAATTTCAGGCCGAGATTTTAAGACACTCTTTTGGGTTAGCCCTCTCCTGCATGGAGTTTTGCTCAGATTTCTTTTTATAATAGGTACACTATGGGATAGCAAGGCCTAGCAAAATCCTCAAGGAGTTTTCAAATCATCGCTGACTTCAAGGTACGCCTTAAAATTCTAATCTAAGGTAAACTTACTGCTTGCCTGAGAATACGTCTTTACAAGGATCACGTGCCTTTAGATTTTTGTCGATTGGCCAACAAAATCGAGTCTATTACAGTTACGTCTCGGGCATAACTTGTATAACTTGTGTCAAAACCTTGGTCAGCTTCATTGCTACCACTTCTATACGAAAGTTTTATTCCGGAAATCAACCGTTTAGATTAAATTGATAAGACAAATTTCTAGTTGGGTCTCAAATTACGAGCTATGCTTTATTTACTTTTACTATATTCCTTTCAGGCTACCTCTTAGATCAACAATGAAATTTTAATGTTATCGGCCTAAATAGACGCATTTATGCAAAAAAAATTGAAACTCCGCACACTAGAGTTAAGTTAAAAGGAAGGAAGTACTTAGAATTTGCATGTTTCATGGTTCTTTTGGATGTTATTCAAATTTAAATAGCTCATTGCAACATTGAATGATACATCCAAATGTCACATGCTCCAGAACGTAACTACATACATCTCCGTGTTGCAAAATTGTCCTTTGCATGTCGCAATTTTATCAGGAAATCGATTGGCGTCTCTCAGTGAAAATGTAGTTGATTTTACTTCTGATTGAGCGCAAAAATATGCAAAAATTTGTACAGAAATTGCACCTTTATTCTCTCGTAAACATTCAACTGTTTTTTTCAGTTTTGCAATCTCGGAGTAGAATTAAGTTTCCTCGTTTGAAAAACGACGATTACCTCCGATTACACTCTAATCAGTGGTTTATGAATGTATACCTATTTAATATTAAAACTTCGGCAAACTCGGCTTTGAACGCGATCAAATTAAATGTTTTTTTCATCTCTCACACAGTCATCTGGTTAGGATTATCTTATCACTGAGGCTAATTTCGATCTAAATTTAATTTGAAATGAGGAAAAGCGAGCCGCGTCTATCTGCACCTTATTATATTTCGCGCTACCTCATCTCTCTGTGAGCTTGAAGCCGGCGAGCGGTGACAATGAAAATACTGCAGCGTCCCATTTTCGCAGGGTGGGGGTTGGGGGTTGGTGGTGCCAGGAGGGTATTACTGCAGTGCGGAGTCAAAGAAATCTGTCAAGGGGGAACGTTCGGATGCCGTAAATTTATTTTGTCTCTCTCCAAAGTCACCAACAGTTCTCCTCCCGCTTTTTGAGTACATACTTGGACTCTCTTGTAATGGAATCTAACCTCTGTCGAGCGAAGGGCCGGTATAAAGGCACCGAGTAGCACAGTTCAAAGAAAATATAGAAATAATTTTGCGATTTTTGGATAAAATTACAATTTTTTTCCTGTTTTTTTCTGTTTTTCCTTTTTTATTTTTTCTTTATTCTTTTTCTTCTTTTTATCTGTATTTCTTCTTTATTTCTTTTCTTTTTTTAATAAAATTCCCATTTTAAACGAACAATAAAGTGAGTTTTATGTGTGAGAAAGGTGTGCAATTCCTAATGCATAAAAATGCAACTCATTCAGGGCCGGATTTACCTACTTGCCGCCTGTATTTTGCCGCCCCCTTCTCATTCGTTTTGAAACACCAATAAAAACCATCAAGTGAACGTGCCGGAGGGGGAGGGGTAGGGGTGTATAAGATGCGTTTACCTGCTCGTGTTGTATACATTTCCAAAGTTGCAAAATTTCACGAAACTTGACGCGAGAGTTAAATTCCGTAAACCTATCTCTGTGTAGACAAGGTCCTCCATTTATAAGAAACGAACCAAAAAATTAAAAAAGAACAAACATAAATGTGGCTCAATAATTTTAACTTCCGCCGCTGCGCCGCGCTGATCGCACTGTGTTTGGCGCAATGCGTGAAGTATTCCTGCAGTCTTGTAGGCGCTATGCGTTTCACGCCAACCGCTCCTGACCTAACCGCACTATGTTTGACGCGATGCGTGAAGTATTCATGCAGTCTTGTAGGCGCTAATATGTGTTACATGCCGCCCGCCGCGCCGAGGGCTTGTCCTTTTCATCTCAAGTCTTCGTCATCATTTCTCTCTGCGCTGAGCTCCAGGCCAAATTGCGTGTTTAGTTCCTCTTTTAACTCGACTAATTAAAGATACTGTCTCTTGTATCACCGAAAAACGACAGAATCAGAAATTAATATACATTCAGGAAAAAGAGATTTTTTTCCCTTTTCTTATTGATAATTTTTTTTCCTGAATCCGATTTTTTTTATACCTACATTTAAAAAAAGAAATTTGCCCCCCCCCCTACATTTGCCGCCATGGGCCGCGGCCTATGTGGCCAACCCCTTAATCCGGCCCTGAACTCATTTCATTTTCATTGCAGTGAAATGAAAATGAAGAAATGCAATGTTGAAACGGCATCCAAATAAAGTTTACAGCAAAAATCCAATGGCGCACAGTGAAGCAAGTCAGTGGGGGAGGTCGGTCATTTTATGGAGGGCTGGAGACTACAAAAACTTATATCTTCCTTAATACAAAACGTTGAAGTGTATCAGTTGCGAGGAGTAAATAATCGATTATCGATATGCCCCCATTTGAGGCTATTGTAAAGAATCGATTACTGAGGTTTTCGTTGCGAAATGCGAAAACTCTGTATTTTAAATCTTCTTTCGTAGGTTTAAATGGGAGATCAATCGATATATAGAAAAACACGCGACTAGAGTGTATGAGTGGTCCATCGGCTAAAAATTTACCCTAAGGCGCACTTCTTGCAATTCATAATGTTGCCAAAGGAAACATCAACATTTGTACTGCCGTGTCAAGGAAGAGCGCCGTATGGACATTCGAGAGTTGCCAAATTTCCTTCTATAAAATGTTTATTTTTGAGGAAAATTATGAATATTTTTCCCTGAAATTTTCAGGAACTTTAGGTGAAATTGCGAACAAAATCACATGAAAAATTGGAAGAAAAGCAATCGTATGAATACCAGGAAATTCGCGTTTTATCAAAGGATATTTGGCAACGCCTGAGGGTTCATGCGGTGTTTTTTCTTAGCGCGGCAGTGTAGTTTTATTAAAAAAATCCATGCCCGAGTTCTCCCAAAGGCTTATTCCACTGTGGGATGCCTCATGATGAACCCGCGGAGAACCCCTCGTGGCAGTGGCGTGGCGTGTTTTGCGATGTATCGATTGTTATGCCATTTAAACCTATGGAAAAGGATCGATAAACAGGGTGTTCGCAGCAAACACCTTAATAATCGATTCTTTACCATAGATTTAAATGGCATAACAATCGATACATCGCAATTCACGCCACGCCACTACCTCGTGGAATAAAAACCCAGGCTCAAAATGAAGCAACCACTCAGAGTGGCAGCGATGAGAGTCCTCGCGAACACTGCAATTTGCGAAGGTTCTTATTACTAGAGAAGAGCGTTCGCGACGATTGCGAGAGGGTGAGTCTCGAGAGCAGGGGTGAAACCTTACGAGATGCTGTGCGCCTTCATTTACACAGATGCACAATAAGTAGGGCACTCGTGTTCAAATAGCCCCACTTGCACGAAATTTTCATGAGGGACCGTCCGTAAATAACCTCAGGATTTCCCCCGATTTTTTACCCCCCCCCCTCTCACCCGTGTCAAATTCTCTCTTCCACTTGTACCTTCA